TTTATAGGAGAAGCGCGTAGACCTGCTAAACGTACGCGATGAGTTTGCAACGACATTTAACACGAAGTTCGGCTCGTACAAATGCTAACTTGGTCTACAACATGGATGAGACAGGTATTTACTTAGACTCGCCGCCGTAAAAAAGCTGTCAGAAAGGCCAAGGTAGCGTCGACCACGGCCGAGCAAAAGCACTCGGTCAGACTAACAGCTGTGTGTACTGTCGAGAGGCTTTGAGTTGCCTTTCTGCTCCTTTTCTGGATTTTGGGGGGGGGGGTTGCCAGAGAAAACACATATGCGTTTTCTACCCCAAAATATTTTTCTCCAATATTATATTTGGCGCGTGGTGTGAGAATTATTTATTTGGAAAAAATTATATATTTGTCTTATATTTTTTGAGGGACACTTTTACACTCTTCACAAGAGAAAGAGCCGAGGTGGGACGTTGGGGGGCCCTTCGGGGTGGGGCCATTTTTATCTACGTACCCTACTTGTCCAATACATTCTAGAAGGCTCGGTTCTATTGGTGGACAACTTAGACTGTCGTCTCTAGTTAGCTTAAATTGATCGTCAAGAACGCGCTGTTCTCTACTCTTCAACCTCTCCCAAAAATTTCGACGTCGGTTTGCCAGCCCTTAGACGTGGGCCTCATTGGCCCATTGAAAGCCAAGTTAAAGGCGCTTTGGCTAACAGAAAGACCCCCACCACTCAAGCTAGTTGAAAGAAGAAAAAAGGAAACGGCCGCCGACAAGAGACTGGAGACAATCAAGCGAACAATCAAAGCATGGGAGTGTCTTAGCCAGGGGCTATCATGAAGGTGCTCAACAAAGTGCTTCTTACAAAGTTTGAGTGAATATAGCTACATCCTTGTTTTGCTAAATTCTAGTATTTGTTTATGAAACGATATATAATTCCAGGTTCAGCAACAAATCGACCAAGATTTTTCTGCAAATCATGTCAAGAAAACCCCGACCAACTGTGGCAGCTACATTCTGTCCGTCCCTGTCTAATGTACACGATTGATTATGTACTGCGCTAATATAGCAGAAACAGCTTTGTACTAATAAGACAAAATTGCAAAAACACCGCTTGAAACGGTGTGCAACACGCTCAAATGCACAATAGCATCTTTTGGGGCGGGGTGACGCAGGGCTGCGCGGTATTTGCGGAGGCGAGCCCAGCGCCAAACTCACCAGCAAGCCGCGCAATGCACTATCCAGGTGAGAGAATCTATTAATCGCGAGCGAAACGAGCCCCAGCCAAGATTTGGTAACGACCTCTTATATTATATTACTCTCCTGGCAGCTCTTACGAATGCCAAGTCAAAACAGATCTAAGGTGCTATCCTGCAATACGTGCACTTCTTTGAAATATTAAAGTACACAATTTCAACCTTAAAACTGCGAAATTCGTGGTAAAATGTACGTTTGAAATGCCATTGTAAAAAGGGGCTGACGCTACTTATTCTGCCAATCATCTCCGATTTCACTAGTTGCACCGCGCTGTTTAGCTCGCGGTGTTATTAATAACGCCGCCAACTGCTCACCACGGGTGGCAAGCGAAATACACGTGGCGCCTCAGTAGATCGGTAATAATGGTGTGTACAGTAAATGCCGCATCCCAGTAAAGAACGGCAAACCGAGTCGGTAATTTTGCGCGAGGTGTTTATCTACCAATAACCTGTACTATCTAATCACTTGTCATATTTGATAATACGTTATATTTCTTTTGATAGATTTTCAGACCAGATAGTTTATTTTGCGAGATTGACCTACGAAGTTTTAATTTTTAGGCTGTAATGGTGCTGTTAAGATGACTGGGAATTAAATAAAGAAACGACAAGCACTCGTGGTCGATCTCCATACATTGGGCACAAGGCATTAACAAAAAATTATAATCCCATCAAACAGAGCCGGGCTTTGTTTTATCAGCACAAAACTCAGAATGGATACGCATTCGCAAATTGCGTAAGCTTGTTTACTGTTGAATCCTTAAATGTAATCACTTGCACTCTTTAAGCAATGAAACAAATCGCCTTGGCAGCAAGGCTCGTTAAGTATTGGCGCTGGTAGTCAAAGCGGGCGTGTCAGCTTAGCTCATTTCTGAATTTCATCGCCTGACATCAACGTTCAACAATGCGCTCGTATCAGTTGACCCTCTTTTTCGGTCTGGTCGTGCTTCTAGCAACCACAGAAGCTGTCTCACCCGACATCGCCACGACGAGTCGGAAATACGCGTACACGTCTCAGAATCGCTCGCTGTCGGCTGAGTACAACGTCAAAGTAAGGAGAAGCCTGCGGGGTGAGGGCAACAACAAAGACATGGAGGAGCCCAACGCTGACGATGGAGAGTGAGTTTTTTTCAGATCTTACTAAACTGGATTGTCTACGGTTTGAGGGTCGGTGCTAATCCAAACACTCGAGTGAGTCGCTTCGAGGAGAAAATGTTTTTCGAGTTCTCCCAAGCCGGCAAGACGCCGATAAATATGGGAGCCGTGAAACTGGATAAGAAGGGCGTCATCGCAAAAAGGTACAAAGCTTGGTACGAAGAAAAGTGGCGGCTGTTGGAGGCCAGGATTAATTACATGGGTCTGTACACGACTGAGGCCAGGATTAATCATGGACATGATTATCGTACTTAAGTGATGATCATATGGGAAAGATACGGTAAGATTCGAAGATTCACAATGTGGGGCTGTGCGTAATCCAGGATTAATAGTATACCGTCACAGGATTGCTGGGAGTGAGATCGACGAGGAACCGATGAAGAAGAAGCTTGGAGTCTTGCAGAAGTAGCAAAAGAGAAAGTGGTTGTATTTGTCCCATATAAAATAAAATGTGACAAGTAACGGTTGGTGATGAGGGTTCTCAGCCCTCCCTGCATCTCAACTTCTTCAGTCTTCAATTGTGGACTGGCGAGATCGCTTGGCAACGAACTCGGGTCAAACTCATTCGGGACCAGCTGATCGTCATCCACACCTTTCTTCGTCTTCTTTAGACGCTTGTTCCTTTCAGCGCAAGACATCGTCTCCTTCACGGGGATGACTTGCATCGAACGTCGGCAGTAGTCGACGAAGTAGCTCTGCCACGCTTCCCAATTAGCGTGGTATTTGACCGGCGGGTTCACGGGCACACTCGCAGCGTCGGTGCTCTGGCTTCCAG